CTACTCAAATGATAACTTGTAAATACCGAAGCCGACATGTGTTGAACATATCTTAACACCTTCACAGAAGCCTTTTTATATATATTAATAACCGTGAAAAAGAGTGTAATGTATGGGAAAGAGCAGGAGCAAAAATAAATATAAGCATATGGTACGAGAAAAAGATTCTTTCATATACGTGAAATTAATCCTCATCTGTATGATATTATATATCTTCCGTTACTCTATAATGACACCCCCGTATAATGTATTAACTCGCCGTGCAAATAAATGTTTACCTTCTTCCAAGAAAATGAATCGAGTAGTTCGTTAAGTGAATAAATGAGACATGCATTTATTATTTCATTCATAAATGGACATAAATTGATAGCTGGTTGTCGTTGTTGTTACTTTATAGTCATTCGTGTTGTAAGATTGTAAATGCATTAAAATTTGAATTAGAACTAAAATTTTATTGAAATTTCCGTTGCTTACATAACAATTAAGCAAATTGAATGTGTTCAGTGGTTACAGAATGACTGACATGTGGATTAGGTGAACGTGTTGAGTTGTTTTGTTTATTGGATATTTTTTTATTGGAGTTGGAATGAATGGATATGTGATTAATTTATGAATGTTGAGTATATAGTAAGTTTTGTTAGTGGTACATAGTATTCTGAGTCTTATAAATTTTTATATATAAGGTCGTTATGTTTACTTAGTTCTAGTACCCTGCCTTTTAGATAAGGTGTCCAAAAAGGATGAGCTATTATTAAACCAGGCTTGTCACTAGACCCTCTACTTAAAAATTCTGAAATTTGATTATTGAGCAACTTTAACTCCTTATTGAGGAGGTTAGCCAGTAAAGGGATCATTCATTAATGATGTCCAACTTTTCGCATAGAAAGTTCTAAGTCTGTTTGATATTTCAACTCAAAAAGGATCTTTTGCAACAATCGAAGATGAACGAGGTCTGAAATTCCAAATTTCCAATTGACGTCATTTAGTAACAACCCCCAAATGTACTTAACCTTCAATAATCTCATTCTCTCTTAGCAAAATTAATTAGATTTATCCAGAAACAAGAAGTTCCACAGAAAAAATCTCCAAGCATCCAATTTCCTAATAACTTCAAGAGTCTCTCACCTTTCCTTCTCCTTAAATTTAACTTTGTCAATCTCAATTCCCAACATTAATTGTAATTAAAATGAATGAGTGTAGTAAAAGTAAAAGATTGTGGTCATGGTGATACAAATCTTCTTAAATTCTTGCTCCTCTGCTCTGCTTGTGTATCTCTCGTTACTAAATTGTTGATAACAAGCATCACCATGAATGATAATAAAGTGGAAGCAAAAAAATGTAATTTTTTTCCATGTTGTATAAAAATCCTAAGCAAACTTGTCCAATGCTCTTTTGACTTTCACGCTTTCTTTACCTTCTTATTCCTTCCTTTTTTTTCACGAATGACATCATTAATTTTTTTCATGTTGCTGCGGACTCTCTTCTGTGTCGTAAGCGTGTGATTGTGGGTGAGTAAAAGGGAAAATGGAAGGAATTGGGGTTGAGTATCGAGTTTAATGACTTTAGGTGGATAATGCAAGATGCTTGCACTTGAGGGATAGTTTAAATTGTGCTGCATTAATTCCAGTGATCGGTTTCCAGAGCTCAATGAAGCCACCCTCTTAATAGTTTTAGGTTTGTTTGTGACTATCTTAGTGTATCCTTACTTAGCCTTAGCTGCGAGATGCTAGGCTTCATTTATTAACTTATAAAACTGGTCTAACTTCAATACGAATCAAAAAAATATTTTTTTGTAATTGCGCTTGTGACAAACGCCATCACAGACCACCTCAGCACCTCTTCTACTCCAATTTATGACAAAATTCCACATCCTATACTCAACCCCTGACATCCAAAACCATTGTCTTCATAGAACATTCATTCTTTCTTTAACTTTCTTCCTAATAATAATATAAAGATGAAGAAAATAAAAACCCCATGAGAGGAACCTTGAATCAACGAGCGAATGAGTGAATGTTGTGTATACATAAAAAAGGGGGATGATGAGAAGAGCACACACAAAGTAATTGTCGACATTTCTTGCCTTTATCACTCGAATCACAGAGACTGAATGGACATGAAGATATTTTTTTTTTTTGTTCCTTCATGGTGATGAAAAAAAATTTATTATGAGGTTAACAATATGTTTCGAGGTTTATGGATATTGAACGAGCTACACAGACACTGAACCCCAAAAAAAAGGTATGAATTTTAAACATGACTGTGTATGTAAATTCATTTTCAAATTTGTCACCTCTCAAAAACTTTTATTTTATTTTATGATAATATTCCATGCTCTATGCTTATATATTGTTTGCCATTCACACACGTTTACATGCAAAATATCTTTATTGTATGGTAATACATCATTGTAAAGGTATGGAAATCATTATAATGTCGAGTGGAAAAATATTTTCCTTCTTCATATTCAAAGCACCGCAAAATAAAAATGGAAAGCAAGAAGGAATAATTTCTAGAAAAGAAGCGAAAAAAAGGATCTGAAGTGAGGAATGAGAGAAACGATGGAGAGTGAGAGAGATGAATATTTGCCATGAAAATTGTATTCTGTTACTGTCAAGTTTTGTATGAGCGCGATAAATTTTTAAAAAGGGATCGTAAAAGCAGATGGAAAGTATGAAAAGTATCTTAGGTTGGGTTTTGAGGCGCAGTTTTTGAGGATGTGACTTACAAACATTTTTTGAGGAAGTTTATACTACATTCAACCCAGACACTCAATAAAATGAATTTGATGAATGAAATGTTGAATGCTGGCTGGTTTTTGAAGCTCATGTATGAACCCTAGCCTAGACACACTTAAGTGTAGTTCATCGGTTAACCATTCAAGGTTAGAGTGCTCCCAAATGCATATGGAATCATATATCGATCATGTCACTTAAATACAGCCTCCCCCCCCCCCTTACCCCAACACAAAACCAAGTCCAAAATCATTAACACCAACCCCAAACTGATGCAATAATCAAATCCAAATCCACATAATAACTAGATTTTTCATGCTACACAAATAAAGAAAGAAAAGGAGACTCACGAGTACATATAAAATGTAGTGGGTGGCATGTTGGCGACCGCATGAGAAAATATAGCAAAAAAAGACAGAAAACTCCAAGGTATGAGTAAGCAGAGGAGCATAAAAGAAGGAAAATGCGTGTTGGTAACCCAAAAAGTGAAATGAAAAGAAAAGCAAAAATCTTTATCTACCCCGTGCCTATCGCCTCCAAAATTCTCTTCTTTTCTTTCTTGCCAAACAACATTCAATGTTGTTATTTGGGGCCTCTGCTGATTTAATGACTCGTTTACGCAACAGAAAGGCGCTATACAATATGTATATATAGACATATTTATTTAACGGTATAAAAAAGATCCACTCGTGATTCCATCGTACATACGATATACATATTGAGTTGAATGAGGACGAACGAGAGAAGAAGCAGCAGATAGGATACGATGATGGGTGAAAAATGAAAAGCTGAAATATATTTTTATATCCCATACTGGTTTGTATGAGGGTGCGACCATCATGAAATAAGTGTAATGAAATTTTTGTGGGTAAATCCATAAAATGAATAAATAATAATATTTCTGAACTAATTCTCTCCAAAATTCAGTTCTTTTCTCTCTGTTGAGAAACTAAACTTGGCTATAATCTCGAGGGCGCCTGATACTAAATACGAACTTCTCTTCGTCTTTCTGTCTCTCTTTAGACTCAACAAACAAAAGAGCCATAAATGAGAATAAATTTGGTGGATGGAATGGATGTGATGGGTTGGAAAAATGTGCGAGAATGTTAAGTAGCAGAATGGGAAATGATCTCATTCCATGAGATGAAGAAAAAGAACAATAATTAAGAACAGCAAGAACATTAACTGCCATTGAGCAAATTTTTTTCTGTTGCTATTTTGAAGCAACCAGGCAACCAGGGTTTTGAAATAAGACCTTATTGTTAGGTATCTACTTTGCATACCAATTATAATTATTATGATTTTTTGGGTCTGTAATCGTTAATGATTACCTTAATGCTGGTTGTGATAATTTTAAATTATTTTTTATTAAAGAATTAATTTTTAATGTTTTGTAAACGGATTTTATCCTTGCTACAGCATGAGAACCTTTAAGAAATTAGTTCCTTAAATTTTATTATTAAGTATTTCACAATAATAAATTGAAACCTGAACCAAAATCAATACAACAATGAAAAACAATTTGACGGAAGAAAATTTCCACGACCTTGACATGATAAGAAGCAGGATGTGCATATTTTATTATATCATATCATATTAATTCAATTGCGGAAGAAGACAGAATAGTGAAAAACTTTTCATCTTTATTTTTATGTCATTTTCTGCATTGTCATTGTAAGGATAACCCTCAATTTCCAAGCACACTCGTTGCGGAGCTGCTTCATCAATGCACAAAATTTCCCACATTAAAATTTCAAAAGCTCATTTTTCCACTGTTTTATGGCAATGAGTTTGAGTTTAGACATGAGTACATATGTATGTCATAATAGCACATGACTTGATAAATCCTCATATATGCATTCGATTATAGACATTAGGAACAAAAGGGTAAAAGTATTGATTGTGTACACAAAGTCGAGTTGGATAGAATGTTGTGGGTGGGTGGATGGAAAGTGGAATAAAAATTTAATATTTTATTAGGAATGTTCTGTAAATTTCTATGTTTTATAGCTGCTGAATTGATTTTGTTGAATCGATGCATTGGAACTGAGTGGGAACTTTATTGCGTTTTTGAAAGAATTATTTCAAGTCACGGATGCAGCAAGGATCGTATTTAGTAATCAGTTTTTGATACAGCCAATATCATTCCCTACACTTCCAAACTCTAAAGTCTACAGAACCTCTGCAAATCAAATCCCCATGTCCACAAACGAGACACATCTCAATTATCCATCAGCACACAAAAACAAGAATAAAAACCTCAAATCAATAATCACTGAATTATTCACGCTCAATTTATTAACAACACCGCAAACTTTACAACTTATTAATCTGGCTAATTCCAATCACTTTTGAATAAAAATCAATTATCTCTTGTGCTGCTCTTTTGGCTGAATCGAATGCACCATGAACATATCCTTGATAATTTGGACACGTTGCTTCACCTGCAAACAAAAGAACTGGCTTCCCGTCGGCATTACAAATTGATTTGGCTAAATCACTTGGTGAGATGTTATTTGCTGTTGTTTGCATTGAAAGGTATGCATAGGAGCCCAAGAAATTCTCTCGACTCGACCATCTTGTTCTTCTCATTGCAGATGGTCGGGGAAGTTTTCTCTTAAGGAACTTCTCGAGAAGCCACATGCAGTCACTTTCCACTTTTGCATCACTATATGATTCAAATTCCTTCGTCTTGTTGCCACTTAAGACTGTTTCTAGTAGATTCGGAAATCCATCGATGTATAGAAAGCCATAAATATTCTGCAACCTGTATGTGTGAATAGATAAACAAGTTAGAAGTTTTATGGTTATGGTGGGTTTAGGGTACATTTCTGGTGTCAGCATGACACCTTCAAAACTCAAACCAAGTGACACACAATCAAAGAAAAAAATAAAAAGCTCAAAACTTTCACATACCATTCCTTATCAGTTCCGATAATTTCTTCTAAATCCTCTTTTGTCCACATAAATGCACTCAGTTTAAAGTCTTTCGTCCAAAATGGTTCTTCGAATTCTAGAAAAATCTTATTAAGAGTTCCGACCTTCATGTTCTCAATGGCTGATACTTTTATGTCAGGTAAAGTTGGTGTAAATAAAGATTTATGGTTGACTTGAAGGATACCGAGTGGAATCGTCACAATAACATGATCAGCTTGAAATACTGATTTATCAGCTGTATGGATGAAAACTTTGTTAGACTTCCAGTTGATGTTGGTGACTTTTATATTCAATTTTATTCTATTCTTTAAATTGATTGGATGCTCCTCAGATCCAGAGAACTTTTTGAGAACTAAGTCGAACAGTGTCTTGTATCCAAATGTCCTCCAAGTCAAATCTTGTCTACCTTCACATAAAATATTTGAAGCAAATCCTTGAGCTGATAGGTCATACCAAGATTGTGCAGCATAAATTGCATTAGTTTGTCGATGCCAAAGTGATAAAAACATGTCTCGAAGTTCATCATCAATGTCACTAAATTCAGGAGTCCTAATAGCTTTAAAATATCTTTCCTCAAAAAATTCACCAGTCGATTGCGTGGAAGCATTCATTTCCTTAGTCATTTCCTCCAAATTTTTCCTCAACGAATATAGCTTCGCGAGTTTATTCTCATCAATGTTCCTTCCATTCGACGTGAACGTAGTAAAAGTTTCAAAATCTTCAAATCCAGTTAGTCCAAAATCAAATTCATTTTTGCATAATTCGTACACGGAATTGCCTTTCTCACCACTACACCATTGAGCACCCAAATCAATAAACCCATCACTAAATTTCACCGACTCTATTCGTCCACCAACTCGATTCTCTGCTTCTAAAATTGTTATGTTGGTAAATCCATGTGCAATTAATTTTGAAGTTGGATAAGTCGTCTAAAGATTTTATACGAGTTGATAATATTTGTTTACATTTTGTTTTATTCGACAGTAATTTAATTTTCCGCTGAAATATGGTCATAAAAGCTGATTAACAGGATATAATTTGATCGATTCGTCTTCAAGTGTAATTGGGCTATCGAGGATATCATAAGTAAGCGCATAATTCATTGAATTTCAATAAGTGATAATATAATTTTTTTTTTTTTTTTTTAGATTTGCTGTTTTTGGAATTTAGTTATTCTGGACTGATTAGTTTTATTCGTGTGTCGAGTGACTTACGTATCAGTAATATCCATAATTGATGATGAAGATCCTTGACTAGTCTCAGTGCTGACGATGTTCATTACTCTTTTTAAGTGTTGGATTGTGTCAACTCTTATTCCTTTAGCTTGTGGATTTTTCTTTATAAATATGCTTCCTTCCATCATCCAGCAGCTTTCAATTTTCTTTTCCTTCTTGTATGTCCTGGCTTCCTTGAAAATCTCTTGGTTCATTTTTGTCATCGGTGTTTGGAAATGAATAGTGTTTGTTTTGCTGATGTCATCTTCATTAAGCTTGAAAACTTGTTCATTCAAAATCGGGACATACTTTTCATCCTTCTTTTGATGATTTTTAATGTATTCCATAAATTGAAATTTATCCTTTATGCTCCAGAAATGCAAGAAAGCATTTCTTGATTTCTTAGATTGTGTCAATGAAAGCTTTTTGTATCCAAGATTCTCAAGTAAATTCTTGGACCAGTCATTAATGTTCGCAACAAAGTTTTCTTTAGTGATATGTGTGGGGATATCTGTAATCATCACTTGCTCATCTAATTTGATTTGTTTCGCTATGTTGATTTGGACTTGATTGCTGTCAATTTTTTCAGACCATCCCTTTTGGTCCAGTTCCAAATTTTTTATCCGGGTTTTCATTTCATTGAATTCCTTCTTAATGCTTGATATATCAGTTGATATTGAGTCTATTTTTTGTTCCAGGATGGGCAAATTGGCAAGGCTTTTCGTGATTGTTGATAAATCATCTCTCATTGCTTTAAGTGTTTTATCAAGTTCCATGTCACGTGCGGATGATGATTTTGTTTTCTTAGTTACTTTAATATCTAATTCTGGTGATGTTGTATCGGAAAATTTACGTCCCTTTGCAACGACTTCAGATATAATATCCTTGCTGTTTAACGAATTAGATCTTGTTAGGCGCTGACTACTCATTAAAAATAACCCTTTTTGATTGGTTAAAGTTAAATATCGAAAAATCACAATATACGAGCAATTGTTTTGTAATCTGATTAAAATAATTAAGTCTTGATTTAACTAGGTTCACTTTAGGCTAAGCTAAATGCTAATTTATTTAGTAGAACATTTAAAAATAATAATCAAATAAAATGTACGTCTTGTTCTGCACAAGTATAGGTGAACTTTACTGATATGGAATGGTATGGAGTGTAGACGGTGGTTATGAATGTTATGATTGTGTTTTGATAGCAATTAGAAAGTGTAGGGGATTAATAGCAGCAAATAGTATTGGTTTTTAAAGTTCTGGATGTGTTGTTCAATTTTTATCAGATGAGCTTGCTAGCCTCTCAGATATGAAACAATTTTTAGAATCAACCAGTGTCTTTTAATGATCCAAAGTGAACATATCCAGAAAACCTGGGATTTTAAATCAGCAGGTCCCAGTTTAAAGGGCTATGGGAGCTGCACTCCTCTACAATCTAATGTTATTTGGAATAAAAATGTAACTTGACATAATTAATCTAGTAAGCCCTAGAAAGCTATCCCTAGTCATCCTGTCACATATTAAAATCAGAACTACTGAAAATTCGAAAATTAGCATCTTAGTAAGTCATTGGCTTAGACTAGTTGGTGTCTTCAAGGTCCTCAAGGTGTTTTGGAGATTCAATCAGGCAAACTAGCCACAGTGCAACCTAAGTGAGGATTCAACTTCTTTTTAATCATTCTTCCATGTACAACAGAATAGTCTCCATACTCACTATGGATGCCTTATCACATATGATAATAATACCAACAATATTAATTTCCCATCCATCAACTTCACTGCTACTACCAAATGATAATAAAATAACCATGAAGAAAACTTCCAAGAATCCGAGACTATCTAAATAAATTCATCTGATTCATTAAATGAATAAAAATATCATTGACATAATTGGAAATCTCATCAGCTCTCATTGCCTTCCAATGTATCTCCAATTATTACTAGAAGCTCATAAATTAACAAATGAAAGCAATTGATGTGTATCGAGATAAAAGTGGAATGCAAAAAGTAAAGCGTAAGCAATTGCAATTTGCAACGATTTCATCAGCAATAACTTTGCATTTAACAATTCAAAAGAAGAAAATGAGTGTATTAAAATATATAAAGTGAGTAAGATGGAAAGAGAGAGTGAGAGAGTAAAGAATATAAAGCAGTTGCGCAATTCAACAGAGTCGAAGGTCGGAATTAATTTACGTCCGTAAAAAGAGAAGAAAAACAAAATATAATTAAATTAATGGCTAAGTGAGTCTGAGGTTGATCTACATTTTTATGGGGGTCGTTCAACAGTGATGTAGATTAATAGATAGGATTTATGACTCCCTAATTGGGAATTATGTCATGAAATTTTGATTAACTTGCTTCGTTGATTCATCAATTACGATCCTGGACACTCAGCTTCATTTCTCCTTTAAATGTAGAACATCATAAGTGAGTAACCCCTTATGCAATCCTTATAAAGCAAAAGAGTAGCAACATACATTCAAAATTTGTTGTACATATTTACATTTCGTCAACAAATCACGCCATAAAATGTGCCGACAAATGGCTCATACAATACAAGTATTCAGGTGGTGAAGTATTTAGTATCCCCTCCTTTCAACTCAGAATCCATCTCTGCTTACTGTCGAGTATAAATTTGAATTTGTCAACCTAGAATGGGGGAATTAGCGAGGCTTTTGTTTCCATAAATTCAAATACAATAAATATTCGAACAAATTATTCACAAAATACAAGGTAAGACGAACGTCAAAGAGCATTGTTTTCATTCATCGGTAAGTGCACTTTACTGTATTGCTCTTGTTGCTGTAGATTCTTAAACATTGTTTTTTTGTTCCTTCCTCTTTTAATTTTCAGCAGAAGGAATTCAATGCAGAAATCACTCGACACTGAAAACACTTGAGCAAAATTGTTTGTTTCTTTTGCTATTGCCCTGAATGGCACAAGTCGGTTAATCGATCAGAAATTCGGCACCAAGCTGGTGTGACACTGGCATGGTGCTGAATTTAAATTGAATCCAGCACCATGCCAGAGGTATGACAGCTTGGTGCTGGATTTCTATTTGATTAACCGACTTTTATTATTATTAACCGACTTGTGCTATTCGGACGAATTCTAGCATCTGATTTTGAATTATGCTCAATTTTATTTTTTCAAAAATTTAAAGTGTTTTAAGATTCAACAAAAAAAAATAAAAATTCATTAAATTAACAATATTTTTTGCACCTTATTGACTGCTTGTGCGAAAGGAAATAGCTAGAAGTCGGTGAAATTTTGTATGGAGCCGAGTCGACTCTGAATAACAAAATCATTGAAAACCTTGAGTCGACTTAGAGCTTTGGGAAATACATCTTAACATGAGAATATTCAATCCTTTAGCCTCGAGAAGCTGTTCCACGGAATAGTCCAATTATAGAAGGTGGAAGCAAATATTCTGTAGTTCCATTTGCATTCCAAGAATAATTTGTAGATGATGGCTCAGTTCCTGAGATGATGTGGAGTTCCAGCAAAAACTTGAAAAATAACAAAATTTGTGTTAATTCAACATTTGACCCAAAGGAGGTTGGACACTGGCCACACAATTTTAATTGAAGTAACAAAAAGTTTCAGGTGAACACAAAAATCAAAACAAATTTTCGCAAACTTCTTTGAATGAGATTCGAACTCATAATTTTGGTTAATTTTATATATTGTATAAAATCATAAATTTCCAATAAACTTAAATTCAACAATTTCTTAAACTAGTAAATTCCTACTCAATAATCAACAAAGGCACATTATTGCCATCTTCTCTTGACGCTTCTTTCTGCAATTGCAGTTCATATACATTTTTATGTTATTTTGTTATTCATTTCAATTCCAAGAATTAAATCATTTTAACTTGAAAGTGAGCAACTCTTTTATGCTTACTTACTAACTTTACTTCAATATAATGTTAAATACGACAACACAAAATGCTTTATGAATAAGGAGGAAAGAGAAAGAGAAGGAAAAAAATTAAATAAAATAAAATATATAAAAAAAAGTCTGGATAAGAGAGAAGAAATGAAAGAAAAGGCAAAAGATAAAGGTAGAAAAGCTACATGAGCACCAAAAGCAAAGTGAAAAAAAGAAACATCAAAAAGAAGTAAATCAGATGCAACGAATGATGCATAAAATGAGTTTCATTAAATGGAATGTAAGTAAAATTCTTGATTCTTCTCTCACGACTTTCCATCTCACTCTCTCATATATGCTTGCTGCATCTTCGTTTCATCGCGTTTACTGACCGCTTAATGGCTTTTTAAGGGAAGCCACGCGTCCCCTTGAGCTTTTCTTCTGTCTGACTCTGTTTTTGGATTGAAAATAAATAAAATTAAAATAATTCATAACTTTTTTTGGATATGATTTTCATCCGTAAATTCCTTTATAGTGTTGAAGTAATTGAAAGAAAATTGTTGGTAATAAATTGCAATTATAGTGCTGTAAAAAATGTAGTTAAATGAAATTTAATTACGGCAAATTATGGATTTTGTGTAAAAACTACTTACGAGTGCTAAGTGAGGGGGAATTCCTTAATGTTAAGTTTTTTGGGGGGTTAAGGGTAGCTTTTAAAGATTAATTTTTGGTGCAGTAAAGATTAAATTGGTTTAAATTGATATTTGGGTCAGTATTAGATGGATGAACAGGCACACAGACAGAATATTAAACTTTCAGAGAGACAGACAGACAAATCAGCAATAACATTAATCATACCCCAAAACTCGCATGACACCTCAAAATTATCATC